GTTCTCCTGCAAGTGTCTTAACTGGAAGACTTCCAATATGCATTTCCCGTTAGCCTCACCTCAGCCACTCCAAGGCAGCTGCAGATCTGAGACCTAAATGGCAAAGACCTCCTATCTGTGTCCCCTCGTGGGCTCTAAGTGACCTCACTGGAGACTCTGGACAGTCACCTTGCAACCCAAGCTCACCCACAGTCCCGAGATTATTTCCAACCCAAGCATCGCTGGCAGGTGACTTCTGATGCCTAAATATGTGACAGGGTTTCTCGGTGATTTGGTTTTCCACAGAACCAGCAGACCAAAGCAAGAAAACAAAACAAAACAAAAAAACCAAGATGCCAAAGACGTAGGTGGTGGTTACAGTGATTAGTGGAACAACATGGTAACACCAGCATTTCTGGATGTGACCTTTTATGAGAAAAGGACTCAGAATTCATGATAAGGAGTCTGCAAAAATTTGTACCTAACATGTTTAAAATACACAAACACATGCAGAGCATGAGACATACAACTACAATGGTATCATTCTATCAGTTATTAGTGGACAGAAGTTTGAAATGAAAGATAAAAAAAAACCCAGACTCGCCGGGCGGTAGTGGCGCACGCCTTTAATCCCAGCACTCGGGAAGCAGAGGCAGGCGGATCTCTGTGAGTTCGAGGCCAGGCTGGACCGACAGCCTCCAAAACAATACAGAGAAACCCTGTCTCGTAAAACCAAAAAAAAAAACAAAACAAAAAAAAAAACAAACCCAGACTCAAAATGAATAACCCTGAAAAACTGGCAATGCTATTATATTATCTGAACTTTGGCGAAGTGAGTTCTTAAAATTCATAAACATGGTTGCCATGGAGTCAAGAGCATACTTACATGCAAATGTATGTGCTAAAAAAAAAAAAGACTAGTCAGAGAAATAGTGATAAATCTAAGAACTACCTCCAAATATTTTTTCTGACTCCTTGATCTTCATATAATCCCAGCTCTTATCTGACAATTCCTAGGGGTGTTGTTAGTCACTAACAACTTTGGGGTGCAGGGTATTCACCCAGCCTTTTGCCACTTTGCTCTTCCAAGGCAGATCCCAACAGCCACGAGATCCCAACATCCCACAACCCATGGCCTTTACGTGCAATTCTCACATGACAAGGCACCCCCCCCCCCCCGAGCGATCCCCAGTGTGATCCTTGCCCGAGAAGTGCACGCTTAGGCTGCTGTTTCCCTTCAGTCAACTGTGGCAGTGTCAACTGGGTAGAAAGTTCCCTAATTGCTATGCAAGACTCCAGCTTAGCAGACCAGAGTGTCCTCTGCTGGCTTTGAGACAATTACGCTGTCCCGCGGGTGACAGGGCTAGGGAATGTCACAGGGCATAGATAGAGTGAGGATGGGTAGTTCCTTGGTAAGAACGGATCCAGATGACAGCCACGGAGAAAGTGAAAGACTCAGTACTCCAGACTCGACTGAATTCCACAACTCCATGAGCTAAAAGATAAACCTTGAGCCCTGATAAAGAACCAGAGGAGTCAATAGCTTGCTTTGCTGGGACTAGCTGCCCCCGGACTCAATGAATGCAAACAGGTTTAAGGCCTGGATTTGAAGCTACTTGTTATGTAGCAATAGCAACAAAGACACATGGTTTCTATTGTGATTTGGATCTGAGATGTCCTGTGGGCTCGTGTTTTGAACACTAGGCCCTCGCCCGTGGCACTGTTTGAAGGCTGTGGGGCTTTTAGGAGGTGAAGCCTCATTGGCAGTTAGGTCAATAGGGACACGCCCTTGGAGGCCATAGGCATCCCTGGTTCCAGCTAGCTTTCCCTGATCCGTGGTCTACAGGTAAGTACAGTCACCTCACATTCCTCTACAGATGTGATGGGAGATGCCATGCTGTGAATACGTCTCTCTTGTTGGTTGATGAATAAGGCACTGTTGGCCAATAGGGAAGCAAGATAGGTGGGACTAGGAGTTGAGGAGGACTCTGGGAAATGTAGTCAAAAGTAGGGGAGTTGATATGTGATCAGGATGCCGTCCTCGGAAAGATAAGTCCTTACAGAAATATATATTAGTAGTCATGGGTTAATACTTAAGGCAGAACTAGCCAATGAGAAGCCCTAGACATTGGCTAACAATAGAGTCCCTGTGCATTATTTGGGGTTGACGTGGCTCTGGGACCAGGCTGGCAGGAAGAATGCTGGTTACACAGATGGAGCCCTTTTGCCATGGTTTCCCTGCTATGACAGACTGCGATCTCTCTGAAACCAAGAGAAGCATCTGCCCTCTTCAGGTCTCTGTCAGGTATTTGGACACAGAAGGAACTGTCAGAGCTCTAATTCCCACTACACTCAAACAATTATGCTCAGCTTTGACAATTATTTAGTCCCTGGTTTTGTTTTGGTTTTTTTCCTAGCTGTTGCTGATGTCTGTGATTTTATTTTTCAAACCTCTAGATCCGGCTGCCTCGGCCTCATGAGAACTGGGATTGCAGACATGTGCCGTCATACCCAGGATGTGACAAAATGCATCCTGGATGATAAAAATAGAGGTGATTGCTCCACACATGCATTGTCTGTGTAACTTAAAAGTTCGTGGATGAATATACCTCTCTAGGGAGGAATCTTGAAACACAAATGAATTACACACCAAAGTGGTTTTGGTTTTTTTTTTTTGTACTTAAAAATTAGCAGGTGGGGGCTGGAGAGATGGCTTAGCAGGGGCTCAGAGTGTCCCCAGCACCCGTGTTGGGTGGCTCACAACTGCCTGGAACCCCAGCTCTGAGAGATCTGACATCTTCTAGCCTCTGTGGGTAATCATGTGCACATATCATACACACGTATACATGCAAATAAAAATATTGTTAAATTAGAAAGTATATCTCTACACCAGAGCTTGGTTTTTGTATGCTGTTGTTTTGAGGGAGAGGTACACTTCGCTTTTAAGAAAAAAAATTTTTGGCCAGGTGTTGGTGGCGCACGCCTTTAATCCCAGCACTCGGGAGGCAGAGGCAGGCGGATCTCTGTGAGTTCGAGGCCAGCCTGGTCTACAGAGTGAGCTCCAGGACAGCCTCCAAAACAATACAGAGAAACCCTGTCTCGTAAAAACCAAAACAAATAAATAAATGATAAATAATAAATAAATAAATAAAACTTTCCCTTCCAGCCTTTTTAAGTTAAGAATTTATAGGACCATTGTGAAGACAGGCAGAGAGAAGCTGTGGGCTCTGAGCTCAGCTTTGCAAACGTCAGCATCTCCCGTTAACAAGGGAGTGTATCACAACCGATAAACCACAAAGCACGCCACCTCTCATTGCCGAGCAGCCTCCCTTAGCTCTACGTCCGTCCGGTCCGTGTCCTGGCCGCATCCCACCAGAGTCAACTGGGGTACGACGTGACACCCAGTCATAACGTTGGCTTAGGCATCGGCCTGGGAAAATTTCTCGTGCGCCACTTGATTATGCTTTCCTCGCGATTAGAGTCAGCGAACGTGTGGGGAGGAAAATCACAGCGGTCGAGCGTCCTTCTCACCGTAGACCAAACACGCCTCTTACTAATACAGGTCATCGCCATGTAAGACAGGAGAGGGCTTGCCTGGCAGGGACGACGCTCTGGGCTCCATCCCCCAGAGTAGAAGACAATCCTGTCTGGAGGAGGATTTGTCAGGCTCCGCCACTGTGTTTCCACCCTCTGCATTCTGCACTCTTTGGAAGAAATCACCGGTGTAGCCTGCGCTTTGCCCCTGTCAGTATACTAGCTGGGACTCTTCTGCTGGGGGTGGGGCGGGGCTCCAGGGGTGGGGCGGGGCTCCGGGGTGGGGCGGGGCTCCGTGATCTATTTTTTTTATCCACCCAATCATTGAAACGAGTGTGGGGATGTGTCGTTTGCTTCAGGTTACGACTCAGTGTTGTTTTGTTTATGGTGTTGCTGAAGCTGTCCCAGACATTGGGAGCTCGTGCAACATCTGTAGGGGGGGGCGGGGTGTTTTGTTTCCTTTCTCGTTCCTTTGGTTTCGGGCACTGTTTGGGATACTCTAAGCTCACCTTGTGTATTTCCTGCTCTAGTCTTAATCAGCCCTTTACCCCAAGGAACCCTGCTGTTAACGCAGAACAGACTGGAAGGCAGCGTCTGGGCCACAGGCAGCGAGCTCATTGTTACGGGGGTGTCAATGCTTCAGTCTCCACACAGAGCATATGGATGCAACTGTGTTCGTTTGTTTCTGGACGCGGTAGCTTACACCCATAATCCTAGCACCCAGTAGGTAGAGACAAGAGAAGTGCCGTAAGTAAGTACATGGCCAGCCTGGGCTACAGAGTGAGTCTGGAGCCAGCCTGAGCTATGGAGTGAGGGCCCTGTCTTTAAAAACCAAAGACAGGGAACGATAAAAGAAAACAAAATTTTAGCAAGCATTTTAAATGGCACTGCATCAACCAGAGAGGCGGTACTATTAGACCCATTGTAAAGGTGAGAACACCAAGTCACAGAGAGGAACTGACATATATGTATCCGTTAAGTGGCAGGACCAGGGATTGAACCCAAGCATCTGGATCCAGATTTGGAACACTTCCCACTGCTCCACATTGCCTTGTGGCAGGGGCCGGGGGGCTCACAGAGCTGCTGTCTCCAACTGTTAAATCACTCAACCCATCTACACATCCCCAAGACACATATGAGCCCGTTAAGAGCCAGGCTCTGCTGTAATTGATGCCCTGGCACCATCTGAAATACCCCGGCCTATGGCCCAGCTCACTATGACAGGGGAGGTTGCTACAGTGAGCCCCTGGAGATCACGTGAGCTCTTTTTAATTTACCTCTGTCCACTTGTTATTTCTATCAGTTTTAAAGAGATGGCTTTAGTGCCTCTCCTGTACATGCGATCCCCATTCCCATTGCTGCTGTTCACTGATAAAATGTTTGAACGAAACGATTTGTGTGTGTGTGTGTGTGTGTATGAAGGCCATTAGACAGCAAACCCCGGTTCCCCTGTGGCGCTGAGAAGAGAGTTCTAAACGTGCACTTACTTGGCGGCTGTGGCTTTCAGGTGCCTCCACGGGACCAGAGCTGAGATGACCTGCAAGAAACACGCAACATAGCAGGAGTCAGTGGAAAACACCTTGGAGGAGGCGTCCTCACCTTGCACGAGGCGAGCACGTCCGGGAGTCGCTAGTGCATTTTGGGAAGGGATTGTAGATCAACAAAGCAGGCTCCTCTAGAACGAAAGGCAGAGGTCGGTACTGGGGGAGTCCGGGATTGACTTCTTGCGAACATTTACAGGCCTCTCGGAAGAGAAAGGACACCTGGGAAGACCTGGGTCCTCAGGAGCTGCCTTCCACATATGTAAAACCTGACTGCAAAGCAGCGCACTGAGCGTTGCTAAGAGGATAGCTCAGCCGGGCAGGGGCTTGTCACACAGCGTGAGGGCCCGTGTCTCACCCCCAGGGGCCACACAAAAGAGCCAGGCATGATGGTACACGCTTGTAAACCAGTGCTGGGGAGACAGAGCCAGGCAGGTCCCTAGCATTTGCTGGGACTAGACAACCCTACTACTAAGTAGCCTTGATGGGGCTAGCCACAGGCAAAATGGAAGACTCTGGCTTAAAAACTAGGTAAATGGCTCCTGAGGGGTGACACCCAAGTTTGCCCCCTGGCCTCCGAGTGCACGTTACACATACTTGTACACACACACCTGCATACCATGCATGCCCACAGGCACACAAACACATACACATATTCACACACATTGCATTTTTTTTGAAACATCAGTAAGGAATGGTAAATGGTTCTCTGGGTAAGAGCTCCTGATGACTAAGACTGCGGGAAGCCATGGTTGACACAGATCACTAAGTGTAGAAAGTTGGTTAGAGCTTTGCCGCAATCCAAGTGAACGGCCCGGCAGAAGACTAACTCAGCAAGTCTGACAGGAAAGCTTCCAGGCAGAAGACGGGTCTGTGGGTCCCATCACTAATGGACACATGTCTGGTGCTTCCGCCCTCTCTTCGAAGAAAGAGCATTTTTAATACCTCTGGGGCAACCAGTCTAGACAACCTAATCGATCTCTATAATATAATTCCAAAGCTATCAAGAGGGCCAAAGACCTCTGGGAAGGCCCGCTTTAAAAATCCCAACCGACATTATTGAATTAATAAGCATCAATGGTACTTTTATCGGGGATTAAAAACCCAAGGGCTGTTTGTCCTTCTTGATTTTTTTAAAACTTAAATCGACAACTGTAATAATTCAGCATGACATGCTGGAAAACTGTGACTACTGATTTCTGTGTCATTGAGGATTTGGTGAGGTGCCCCCTTGTTGCCACACACCTCTTAGTCACTGCACCAAGGACTCTTGTGAGTTGTGACAGAGAACTCACAGCTGAAACAGAACTTGGCGTTTTAGCAAGAGAACCAACCAGTTTACCCCTTTGCCTACAGAACAGAGGCACTAGATTTCAGTGGGCAAACTGTTGGCCCTCTCTTGTGCCCCAGAAGTGACAGGCATTACCACTGGTTTAGTTTCAGCCATCTAATGCTAAACAGGTTCCTGCGGCTTTCTGGCTTGCAATCTATACATTTAAGAGGTAGCGATCACTGAGAAGCTTTGGCTTAAAGGAAGAAATCTTTCCAAACCCGATTTAGCACAGAAGAAAATATAACTAGTTGCTTTTTATAGACTGTCTTTTAACTCAAAGACGCTTTGTTGACACCCAAGCATGTAACTTTAAGAGTGGCGTTCTAGGACGTTTTCGCTGCAAGGAAGTGAGAATTGATGAAGTAAATCCATGTTTTATGCATTTTGAAGTATGTGTAATTAGCTCCATTTCAAGCTTTAGGTGAATCAAGGGGAGTGAGAGAGTTGGCCTGCTGTGGAACCCCATTGCCTTCCCCAGCATCAGACCTGATAGCTTGGTAAGGACCAAGCCTGGTACGCCAACAGCGCAGGCTGGGAGAATTCTCTCTTCTCTAAGTCTTTGCCCAAGGTTCAGATCTACTCACAGATGATTGTACACTGAAACGCACCCTGTCTTACAGACCTCTGTACACTGAAACAACTCTATCTTACAGACCTCTATACACTAACTGAAACACACTCTATCTTACAGAGTTCTGTACACTGAAACACACTCTATCTTACAGAGTTCTGTACTCTGAAACACACTCTATCTTACAGAGCTCTGTACACTGAAACACACTCTATCTTACAGACCTCTGTACACTAACTGAAACACACTCTATCTTACAGACCTCTGTACACTAACTGAAACACACTCTATCTTACAGAGTTCTGTACACTGAAACACACTCTATCTTACAGAGTTCTGTACACTGAAACACACTCTATCTTACAGAGTTCTGTACACTGAAACACACTATCTTACAGAGTTCTGTACACTGAAACACACTCTATCTTACAGACCTCTGTACACTGACTGAAACACACTCTATCTTACAGAGTTCTGTACACTGAAACACACTCTATCTTACAGAGTTCTGTACACTGAAACACACTCTATCTTACAGAGTTCTGTACACTGAAACACACTATCTTACAGAGTTCTGTACACTGAAACACACTATCTTACAGAGTTCTGTACACTGACTGAAACACACTCTATCTTACAGAGTTCTGTACACTGACTGAAACACACTCTATCTTACAGAGTTCTGTACACTGAAAACACTCTATCTTACAGAGTTCTGTACACTGAAACGCACTCTATCTTACAGAGTTCTGTACACTGAAACACACTCTATCTTACAGAGTTCTGTACACTGAAACACACTCTATCTTACAGAGTTCTGTACACTGACTGAAACACACTCTATCTTACAGAGTTCTGTACACTGACTGAAACACACTCTATCTTACCCATTCTTTTCTCCAACATCAATGGGACAATAGGCAAGGTGGGCTGGGAGGAATGTAAACTTGTAAGAAGACAAGTCTAGATAGTAGAAAAGTCATAGATCACGATCTTTACAGACAGTTGTTTTCATTAAAATGCACACACGAAGAGGTCAGGAAGGTGACACAGACCCACAGGTGTCTGCCACCAAGCCTGACAACCTGAAGCCAACCCCTGGCCTCACACGGTAAGAGGGAACGAATTCCTGCCAGTAGACCATGGGTAAGTTAAAACGTGTTTCATGGACAGAGGTCTGTGAGTTGATTTGGGGGTAAGACAGAGAGATGGGGCTTTCCAGAGATGGTTACGGCATCTCTCTCCTAAATGGGGTAAAGGCTCTTATACCAGGAGCCTCCCAGTGTACCCATCCCCAGCCCCTGTCCCCTCTTCAAATGAGACCACAGCACTCCAGCTCAGATGACAGCCCAACAGCCTGCACCAGACACCAGCTTCCGGTTCCCTGATCTTAGATTTCCCAGCCTCCAAAACTGTGAGAAATACATGTTTATTCTTCATAGCTGCACGAGGGGAAACGTTTGTGTTAGCTGCTTCACTCGTGCTCATGGCCAAACCCCCAACAGCGGCAACTTAGTGAAGGAAGGGTTCATTTCAGCTCCTAGCTTCGGGGAGGCGACCGGGGAGGCCCGGGAGGTTCTGGCTGTGTGACAGAAGTGTGAGATGCAGAGACACGCATCCGGACTGATCAGGAAACAGTTCAGCCCCAGAAGAGTCACCACCTTCCAGGCCCAGCTGCAGCAACCCATTTAAGCTGGCTGGACCACAGTCCCAGGACCTCCCAAAACGGCGCCAGCGGTGGGTACCAAGTTCTTAAATACACGTGCCTGGGGCCAGGGGAGACAATTCACTTTCAAAGCATCCTGCTATGTGCCTGTTATTATGTGTAACAATTTATATTACAACTCTGGGATGGCAAGAGGATGAAGAAGGAAAAATACAGGAAGTCTGGGGTCCTGAATGTTTGTCAGCAGGGATTGACCTTGAGAGCCGACAGGAAGACCACTCGTGGTAGACACACAGACAGGAGCATGCTGTCATCCTAAATCTGTTTCGAATTGGGCTTGATGTTTCCTTTAAGAGCTCTATTGGGAAGTTGATGGTTAATGAGGAAACAAATAGATGTTGCTGGTTAACTTTACTTTTTCATCAGCCTAGAGGAAACTCTTTTATGACAGTGGTAATGCCTAAGATGCTTTCTATCTGAACATACAAATCTCCAGGTTTATCTGTCCCCTGGAGTGATAGAGGCCGCAAGCATCTGGATCACACACAACCTTGGAAAGTTTTAAACGCTATGTGTAGTAGGAACATTACCGAGACATTATTTCTAACCCCTGGTCAGCCATGCTACCCATTCACGATGAAGGGAGCTGGGATCATTTCTGGTCCATCAGATTCTGTGTACAATTTTTCATCCCCAAAATCTGGCATTCCCATAGAGCAATACTTTTTAAAAAGCTCTTGTAAAGAGCCCACCACTCTTTACATTTCATTTTCCTGTGATTTAAAGCATGTCTGATAATCCGTGCTTCAAATCCAACCCTAGTTTTCCCCAGGAAGTGGGGAAGTGCTTAATATTTAGTCATCTGGAAAAAAAAAAGTCCAAATGGCCCAAACACAACTAAACTGAAAACAGATGATATTCATTGTCCCTGGGGCATTTAGCATAAGCTAAATATACTCACAACACAGCTGACCATCTGAGACCCAGCTACCGGAACCAAAGCTGTGTCAAGGACAGCTCTGTCATTGAGGAGTCACACTCTCCTGCAAGGCGGGGACAGCGTCCGAGCGTCACACAACCGCTGCCCCTTGTGGGTTCTGGGGATTGAACTCAGGCCGTGTCAGATTTGCGCAGAAGATGCCGTTACCCACGGAGACGATGCAGCGGCGCGTAAAAAATGTTTTAAAGCGTTTCCTCGTCTCACTTTCTACTTTCAGCCCAAGTCTGTAGAGAAAGGAGTAATCTGCTCTCTTATATTTAGTAAACATAGCATTAACTATAGATAGGGGGATTTAATAGGATTCTAACTTGCCATTTAAAAACCTTTCCTGGGCCTGCAAGTGTAGTTCAGCAGCCAAGTGAGTGGTTAACATGTGGATGGTCTCCAGTGTGATCTCCATTAGGAAGGAGATAAAACAAAACCACG